AGAAGGCTCTTATCGGACGAACTCCTTCTGTACAAAATAGTATCAAATAAAATGAAAACAAACCTCTCCTCTCAACTATTGCCACACAATCTAATACGCACAACGAGACATACGCCTCTATTTTACTTGAGAGCTGTCAATACCAATGTTGAAATGTACTCTTTCGTATTAAGACTTAAAACACAACACAATGACTATTTCAACGACATTGACTTATAAAATAATTCAATATCCGCTGTAAAACGTGCAATCATACACTCGCTTCCACCAGAACAATGGGGAAACTTCCGATAACGCTTGCATTCTCTAATGCCCATAAACATTGCTAATTAATTCAATTTGTTTTTTTTTTTTTTTTTTTACATAAATTATTGAATCAGCCTTAATTCACTCAAATCAATTATAAATCTAAAAAAAAAATCATTTTAATTTTAATTTAAATTATTACCTAAACCAAAAATGAAATCAGCTATCAATTTGTAAGGGGGCTTAGGGCCTGTTAATTGTAGCATAAAACTTTTTCCACAATAAAGAAAATAAAAATAAAAAAATAAATAAAATAAATTTTGTTACTTGGACTCTTGGCTACAACTTTGCTGAAGACATTGAAACAATATAACCAATAGGGGACGAGTATGGGCCAAAATTAAAGTTGTAAAAATGCGCAATATATGGCTATAAATGGAAATTTTCAAATCGATGTAGCGAAAAAAAGTTGTTCGCATGGGCCCAAACGGAGAGTGGTGTGAGACGTTTCTATCGAAGGCCTATCCTGTGGCATATATGGTTTCGCTCGCCGGGTGTAACCCACAGTGATGTATCCTTGTTAGAGCAATTCTGTGCGACTTCAGTCGTTCATACAAGCCACAATGAATCCAATTCACAACACTTTTCTCTCAAAAAAGCAAAGCGAATTCAATCTCGTCAGCCTAAATTCGATTTTATTTTCCAAAATCATGACATTCTTCAGAAATATTTATAAACAAAGTCGTTAGCCTGCTGTGAATTATATTTATATGTACCTTCAATTTAGTTTCATTTAAATTCTATGCATGTATTGAGCTAGAGTTGAAAAACTATTCGTTGCTTTTGCGAAGCAAGCAGAATTCTGTGATACTAATTTGTTTATATTTTAACACAAACACAACGGATGAGTTGTTTCGAGAGAATGTTTCGATCATATGGAATTGGTGGTAATGGTAATGTATTTCATTCATGGGGATAATAACTCAGCTATTACTTTTCTATTAGGTGTTACTTGCTTACTAATAAGTTTGCTGTTTACTGAAATGATTATTTTTACCTAGTTTTTTACCATGAAACACCGGAAAAGTAATAGCAAACTAATAGAAAAAATAAAGTAAAGCAAAGATATTCATTTCATTCATTCGCAGTGCGAATTTCGTACATCATTTACAAAGTATGGATAAATTGGTACTTTGCTATTTATTCGCAGTGAATATTAAAAAATAGCGTGTGTTGTGCATGCCGTTCGCTCCTATATTTCAAACTTTTCATCTGTCCGTTCAATGCCCTTGAAAGAATGACTGAGATTTCTGCAACATATTGGCAGTGTAGAATGTCCCTCTCACGCTAACTGTTGTCATGCCCAAATCCGTACTATCTGTCATTATTGCGAGCGAATACGTTATATGTCACTGCCAAAATCTCCATCGTACTTCTGGTACATGCCTCGTGGCAAATAAAGTTAAACTTAAAAACGCATCTTCAATATGATCATTCAGTGGAATTGAATACTCTTTGGCTGCCATATGCATGCATTTATATAAAGTCTTAATAAACTCTTAAAACTAACGATTTTACTTTTCCGAAAACTTTGTTTGTTAGGAAAAGTATTGGTTTTACTAGCCAAAATTTCATGACATCTCCTCTTTCGGACCACTATAACGTCGCGTTTTTTGTTCGCCGATTATCTCAAAAAGTTGACAAGATAATTGAGATCTGTAAAAGCCAAAAGTTTTGGCATGCCGAGACAAAGCTTCGGATTGATTTTGAGCCCATTCTGATTTACCAATTTCGTACCATAAGCCTCCGACTGAGGACCTGAAAAACCTTGAAAAATGACACTTTTGTACGGGAAGTACCCGAAAAAAGCATTTTTCAGTGTTTCGATCAAGGCAAACTGCCATTTTTTTGCAAAAATAATGGGAGTCTGTGAACAACCGAACACCTACTTGCCCATAAATTTGGTCCAAAATCGACATTTCTTGAAATTTTCCTCGAAAAATAGACTTTTGTATGAAAAATCACACAGAAAGCCATTTTTTAGGGTTTTTGTCAAAGCAAACTGATGTTTCTTTGCAAAAATAATAGGAGCCTCCAAACAACCGAACACCTACTTGCCCAAACATTTGGTCCAAAACTGACATTTCTTGAAATTTTTGAAATTCTGTTCGAAAATGACATTTTTATATGGAAAATGGTCCAAATAGTTATTTTTCCAGCTCAGAAGTGCTATGAAAAGAGTTTTTATTGAAATTTTGGTTGAATACTAAGCGGGAGGTAAACCAAATTGCCGCGGAGCGGAAAAGTTTGGATTACGTATGTAATTCGTTTTATTTGCATTTTATTCTTCATTCTCTTCTCTATCACACTTCCATCATTTAGATGCCGTGTATGCGGAGAAGAAAACGACAGTCTGATTGAAAAAAGAAATAAAAAGCCAAGTCCAAATATAATTCGCATGATGATCATTGACCATTCATGTTGAATCAACATTATTAATGATGATGTGAGCTGCGCTAATACATTGTCGTATTAATATAATTAGCACGTGACAGTTGGTTTCTTCTGCTTACAATGTACGAAAGTGAATATTATCAATAAAGTTCGCATATTAGATGTTGAGAGTGTAGTTTTTCGCTGTTGGTGCAAATAAATCAGTCGGAAGTGAATTATCTGCATAAAAGATATACGAACGAAAAAAACTCAACCATTTAACTCGAGGTTTGACGAACATCTAATGAATCGATAATTCAATAATTGCACTGAAAATTGCAAATCATCCATTGCACGAAAGCAAAATGACGCTAATGAATAAAAATACCATAAATCAAAACGATGGCTGAACAAAAGAGGCAGTCATTTGATGCATTTAGACGAGTTGTGAATTGCTTCGACACACAGTGCTAGCGCCGATAGTGAAAATCGCATGGTTCGTTGCAGAACATGATCCAAATCGATTAGCAGCACATTTTATCTTGGCGTGAACATGAGCACACGCATGAAAAAAAAGCCACCGACACAAAAACCAAACTTGAAAACAATACACAGCGATTTGCTGCTGCGTGCGATCGATGACAAAAGATAAAAATGATTGAAATGGTAACAAGAATGCCATAAAGAAGATGATTTCATGCGTTACATCTATTGATAATAACGGCATGCGTTGTAGTCGAAGTGGGTAATCAGATGGAGAGCACCAACGGTTTTTGACCAGCAAATGCAAGTCAGTGCATTACTTATATTACACACACTTTTTTTCTTCTCTCGCTTACCGTATTCATCGACGATATACAGCGGAATGCGAAAATTAACTTTCTTTTTTCTTTTCGCTAATATGTTCATTCAACAAATCGAGCATATTGTAAGGTGGTGGTTTTCGTTCTGGTGGTCTTACGCTCGGCTCGTGCTGTTATCGCGTTTTTATAAACTCATTCGGACATAAAAATCGTTTAGCAATGTATGCTTCTTTTCGTGTTCAACGCAAATGGGTATAAATAGAAGAGATTTTCACGCGATGAAGTTTCAGTTCATTTTCAACTTCGCCACATTCAAGAGCCCACCGTTCGGTTGGAGCAGATTGTGTTACAAGATTCAATAGTGGATTTTTACATTGGTGCCGTTGATTATTAGTGAATAATTTTGGAAATCGGTTGTGTGGTGTAAATGGGAAAATTAAAGGATCATTGATTTCCTAGAATATCAAAAATTGAAGAAAACAAATTCGGTGTGGAATTAAAAAAAAATCTGAATTGAGAAAAAACAGATTTTGATTATAATTGAAAAAAATGATAAAAATTCATGACAAATCGGAAATTTTTATGAATTCGAATTGGTGATAAGAATTTTAGTATTATTTTTGTGTGACGGAATAGATAGTTTGTTCTAATTTCGTTGAAAAAGCCATAAAAAACTTCGTAACAGAACTCATTCGATCGAAGTTTGTGCTGAAAAGTGAAAATTTTCTACAATACTTCAGAAGAGAGCTAGTAAATCTTTGAGAAGAATTTTTGAAGAATTCAAACGTGCTTTTTCTTAACATTAAACGAAGATTTTTCCAAAAAACCCAGAAAAGTGAATCCAAAATCGTCCAAGTTCGCCCCATAATTTTACAAAAAAGTCAGTAAGTGAATAAAAAGAGACGTGGAAAAATACTCCATCATAAAACATCAAAATTGTGAAAAGTTTACGTTCAGTTGAAGCGACGACTGAAAAATTAGAATAGAGAAATTATCACAATTTTCATTGAAAAAAAAAGAAGAAAAGATAAGAAAAAAATCCTCACAAAAATCAAAAGTGAAAAAATCGCATCGAAAAAATGATTTTTGCAACATTGTTAGTGTTTTTGGTGGTGACGGGATTGGTGAAGTATTTCTTGCATATGCGTCACATGGAGAGTTATGTGAAAGATTTGCCAATAATGCGCCCTGTCTACCCCTTCATTGGAAATGCGCACTCGTTCATTGGCAAATCAACGGCTGAAATGTTCAGTGGAATTGTGAACTTTGTAAAAGAAAATGAAACTCCATCGAAGGCGTACATTGGTCCCGTGTTAAACATCACATTGGATAAACCTGAAGATATAAAAACGGTGTTAATGTCATCGGCTTGTTTGGATAAGCCATACATGTACCGATTTCTTCCCAGCACCGTTGGAATACTCACAACTGAATGTAAAACTTTCGCTTTTCTCTCTCCCTCTTTCTCCAAAAACAAGCTCTAATCAAAATAAATGCATTAACTAACAAGTTAATTGCCTTTTGATCATCTTCCATCGTTTATTAAACGCATACCGATTTTGATTCGATACAGCGGGTGCATTCTGGAAACAAATTCGCAAACTATTGAATCCCACGTTTAACTTGAAAATTTTACAATCGTTTGTACCAATTTTCAACAACAAAACCAATATTATGCTGGAGAATTTGGACAAGGAAGCCGGAAATCCGAACTTTGATCTATCTAGATATATGCACGCTTGTACGTAGCTGTGTTTTTTTTTGGTTGAAATATTCCAATCAAGAAATAACTTGAAATTTAATTAAATTTTCATTTTTTTTAGGTACGCTTGATATGGTAAAATCAAATATTTCATAGTTGAATAACGGTTTTAGCTATGCTTTTTTGGTTGAAACATTCCAAACAAGGAACAAGTGGAAATTTAATGTAATTTTCATTTTTTTTTTTTTTCTCTAGGTTTGTGGTGAGCTCAAAATTTTATGTGTTATCGAATTCACTGAACTGCATCCGACGAGTTCAATGAACAATTGCTTAATTCATCATAAGACTATGTATTATTAAACTCCATTGCGGAACGTCGATTGTTACGCATTTTCCAAAGAAAATATATCATTTTTTTTGGTTCGTATTAATAACTTGTTTGGAGTTTGTTAGCTTTTGGTCTTTAAAAATAATTACAAGTTTTGTTTGAAACTGCAGCAATGGTTTTCATTCGAAATTGAGCCTAACCTTACATACACATCGAGTATTTGTTTTTGTTTTTTGAAATGATTGGAAAGAAAATACAATTGATAGGGGAAATAATTATTTTAGCGACCACAATGGGCTTCAACGTGGATGTGCAGCGTGACAAAAACCAGGAGTTCCTTAAGAGCATCGAAGCGTAAAATCCTATTCCTTTCGCTCCATTCGAACGGAATAAAAAATAATGCAACCTTTTCCATCCACACAGAATGTGCGAAATTGTGGGCAAACGATTCCTCAAATTTTGGGCACACTCCGACTTTGTTTACCGCTGGACTGGCCTTTACAAAGTCCAACAGAAACACTGTGAAAACATCAATATTCTAACGAGCCGGGTGAGGTCTTTTCTTGTTCAGAAAAATGTTTTTAAATTTTTTTACCCCCAACTCCCAGCCATTTGGCTAAGAGATCGTTTTTTTTTGGTGCTGGGCAGGCCTGATCAACTGATCTGAGCTTCATTTGCTGACTCAGGCGCCTGAAACAAGGGGGAAACTACTACTACCGCGTAATTCATATTAATACAATCTAGTACAACACAAATTCTGGAAAATTCCAAAAAATTCTGCGCAATTCAAAACAATTCCAATCAATTCCGATGTTCCTTAGTCAAATTTGGTGATGATCAACTCAAAATATTACAAATATAGGAACATTTACCATTCATTTGAATGCATATTGAAGATTTTTACTTCTAGAACATATTTGACTTGGTTTGATCTACAAGACTCAATTCTAGCTCTGTTTTCTATTTTGAAAATATTTTATCATCACTTTACCTATTTGAAGTGAAATATTGAATTGGAAGTGAGACCTATGTACAATTAAAAACGCCCTATCTGAAGTTATTTCGATAAGATTGAACATCTATGCGCTTAAGCATTCCTTTGAGATGCTAAATGACCCTATATTTGCAATTTTTGAAGTTGATCATCATCAAATTTGACTTAGAAACATCGGAATTGATTGGAATTGTTTTGAATTGCGCAGAATTTTTTGGAATTTATCAGAATTGATGTTGTACTAGATTGTATTAATATGAATTATGCGGTAGTAGTAGTTTCCCCTTGGCCTGAAACGTTATTTTAATCCATTCATGGTGCAAAATTATCATTGTTCTCACCTATGCTTGAGAAACAACGTGGATCTTTGCTAGTATTGAAAGTTTTGCAGCATGAATGCGTTAAAATAACTCTTTAGGTGCCTGAGTCACTGAGTCAGCAATTTCAGCGCAGCTCACGCCTGCTCAACCTTCTTTTACCTTCGCGATCTAGATCCGTGATATGAAACGAGACGAATATTTCGCTAAAAATAAGGATAAAATCGCTGAAAAGGTCATCTCCGAGGATTCGGAAGAGTCATACAAGACGCCACAAGTTTTGATTGATCAATTGTTTGGCCTATTTTTCTCGGGTAATAATGAACCAAATAAAAACGAATTTAATCTTTTACTAACATTTAAATAAGTATGATGTTCTTTTAGGAAAGTTCAATGCGCAACTTGTAAAAGAACAAATCGAAACTGTTCTAATCGCCGGAAATGAGACATCAGCCCTAACCCTGTCGTATACAATTTTATTACTGGCCATGTATCCGGAGATTCAGGATAAACTCTATGAGGAACTGCACTCGGTATATGATTTACAGGATGAATATACTAGCTATGAAAAAGTTCAACAGTTGCCTTACTTGGACAAAGTTTTGAAAGAGGGAATGCGAATGTTCCCTGTGGCTCCGTTTATTGTTCGTACTGCCACGGCCGACACTGCAGTCAGCACATGCATCATTCCAAAGAATGCCATCATCATGATGTCCATTTTCAACATGCAACGCGTAATTCAATAGCACCAAATAAGCAGATAAAATCGTTTTTAATAGTAAATTTCTTTTTAGAGAAAGGACGTTTGGGGAGAAGATGCTGAAGAATTCAATCCGGAACACTTTGCGCCCGAGAATGCCAGTACTCGTCATCCATTCTGCTTTCTTCCATTTAGCGGCGGCCCAAGAAACTGCATAGGTAAAAAATTCCGTTTTAATTTCAGACAAACACTTCAAACTCTTTGAAAAAAAAATTGCATCGGTTAGTTTTTTGCATAAAAAATTCACCATTTATAATAAAACAATGAGTTCCACATGCATGTTTGCTTAAGAAACGAGTCACCTCAAAATCATTTTTATGCACCATTTTTTCAGTCAAAATTCAATTTCCTTTTTTTGTTGCACAAAAGTCTCACCTTACACATTTTTACTCATAAAAAATTGGAAAAACTCATTTTGTTTTATTACATACTAAAATCGACATGAAAACTTTGTCTCATTTCTAGGTTACCAATACGCAATGATTTCAATGAAAGTCATAATGTCCGGTATATTGCGAAATTACAGATTCACCACAAATCTTAAGGTTGGTTTTTTTCTCCTCACATGTAAAACATTCCTTATTAATTCGTCTTTCGTATCTTTTCTTCAGCTCTCCGATCTCGAGATGAAATTTGAATTAACGCTTAAATTGGCCAATAAGCATATGGTCGGTATGGAACGACGTGTTTGGTAGACTAGTAATCGGAGCAATTATTTGGTATTTTTTCCTAAATCTTCTCCTTAGCTCTGAAGGTCAGGTGACTTGCATTCACTTTGCCGAACCTATTTTTTTTTTAAAACAGAGTTTCATAAAATAAGTTCGAATTAAGATGAACAAAAAAGTGTTTGAATATGTTTTATCCAGTTATATATGCTTTTACAATGAATTGTATATTTTTTTACTAAACCAAAGCCTTAAATCGAATAAACATTATTTTTGTTATAACCGAAAAATGATAGTTTTATTCATTCTAAAGTTTGTTTCTGACTTCCTTTCATTAACTCTATTTGCTGTCGTATTTCTATTTTCTTTTTGTCTTCTTCTTCTTCTTCTTCTTCTGTTTCTTCTTTACTTTCACTCATTATTCACTTCAAATTTGAGAGCTAACTGTACTCATAATTGGGATCGGTGAGCCGTTCGAATTCTTCGTGAACGGTTTTTTCGATTCGTGCTTGTTTGGTATTTTCACTTTCTTCCGATGGTTCTAATGATGGTGCTTCAGAGATTTGGTCCACTTCCATTCTGGTTTCTTCTTCTTGTTCCTCTTCTTCGCTGTCTGGTGAGTCTTGAATTTCACGTGGCGGCTCTTCACCGGGCTTCAAAAACTGGTTCAACGCTTCACTGTATGTTTTCGATACGTGTAAATGCTCCAAATTTTCAATTTCACCCTCCGCCAGCTCGGAATCAGTCTCTGACTCCTTTTCTTCGACGAAAATCCGTTGCATTCTCAATACTTTGTCCGTCTTGGCGAAGTAATCGTACAATTTGGCTGGCATCTCTTGGAAACATGCATCTTCAACACCACCCGGCCGCTTGCTCTCGGAGAAAAAGCAATGTGTTCCCATCGAATATTCGTAGGCACCTGGAAATATTCCGATATTATTGAAATTATTAGAGATGATTGCTAGTGTTTGAAGTCGGCGTGTTTTTGTTTGTTTAGAATAGAGTTCATTGTGAAGAAAAAAGAGTAAGTCCAAATACAAATTTCAGAAAGAGCTTGAGTGCTTCTACAAAAAATGCTCTCTGAATTGGTTTAGAACCAATCATTCTTTATCAAAAAACGTATAAGTAAAAATAACAGAGTCAAAAGTACCTTTGAACAGTTGATTATTCAGTTGCATAATCGGATTTTCGGTGTCAATGCCCAGAAATTTGATTTTCGCATTCGACTTTGTTAGTTGATCGTCCAATAGCTTTGTGTCCAAATCAACATAAACGTAGAACTCCTCTGTTTCATATCTGTCATCATCTTTATCGGTGGTCGTTTTTGAGCTCATCGTTCCCGTTCCAGCTCCAATTCACCATCAAATCGATGGAAATGAATGTGTTTCAAGAGTTTACTACTTTTCATTCAATTTTGAACAGTTAAATAACCAAATTTTTCGGTAATAATTCACTAAATAGACTGAAAAAGGCAAAAAATATCTGAATTTGCGGAATGCTCCGGGAAAAAACGTAAACAAAACACGAGTGAAATCGAAGTGACGTTTGTACAAGTGTCACTGCGCGAACGTTCAATTCAATGGAGACGGAACGCTGAATTTTGAACGTTGATAGTAAATCTGAACGAATTTATTTCATACACTCAGTTGTGATTAGGTTATATACTCGGTTATGTCAATTTTTCATGAAAGAAATACAAAAATTTGCAAAATTTTCAAATAGTCAAACTTTAAATACCAAAAACGATTTTTAACTCCAAATTTTTTCAAATATTGAAATGTTTTTTGGCCCAAAAAACAACGAAAAATCTCACTTTCATCAAACCAACCGTCGAGCATTGCATCGGACACTCCGGAAAAAAGTGAAAAGACGTTCAAATCGCATCGGTTGGAACCAACTTCAGTGCAAACGGTTTGGATGGTATCGAAGGCAGTGCACAAGTTGACAAATACACACACACGCGCACTACATTCAATCGTCTCAATTGTGAAATAGAATCGACAGTGACTCTCGAAATACGCGAGTGCGTACATCGTCGCATTTCATTTGCATTTTTCTTCAACACACATCAAGAGAGAAAAAAAAGAAGAATTCTTTTTTTTCGTTGCCATTGAAAAAATTCGAGATTTTTATTTATTTTTTTTTCTGTTGTGTGTTTTGTTGTGTTAAAAAAACGCGATTGTGGAAATACAAAAACCGAGCAGTTTTCGTTTGTTTTGTGAATTGTTTTGCGTTCATTATTTTTCTCTCTGTTGCTGCTGTGTGATTGTTCGTGCCCGAGTATTGATGCGAGAGTACAATATATCTCGTGTAGCCTTCACCCAAGTGGTTTCATGTGGTGATTTCACGTGTATTTTCATGGTATTTTCCCGAACAATTTTATTGTTATTCAATGGAAAATCGTGTACATTTTGTGCGATTTGAGTTGGAAACCCTCAAATGATTTACTGATTTTTTGGTGTTTTTGTTTGAATCATATCACATATACATATAGTGAATGCGCAGTGATTGGTGGTTTTGGAATCAATTGCTGTACGTGTAAAATTGGGTAGCCGAACTTGACTTGGAATCGGTTCTAAATAACATCCATACACGAGACGAAACACAATAAATTTGGACACAATGTCGACCAACGAAAAATTGGCAAATCTTGAAAACCGATTTCCTCGGTTAAATGGACAACGCCCCGGTCCTCGTAAGTATTTCCGCACATATTCCATTTTTCTAATCATCATCGTCTTCGTCTGCCTGTCAGTATCCACACTCGCAACGCGCAATGAAAACAATGTGGCAATCGAAACAGAACGACGAAGAAAAAAAATCACCAATCACGAATTGTCAATATCGTTGTGGAAAAATCGAAATTGTAAATCTTCATGTCATGTGTTGGATTGGATGTCATTTTTTTTTGACGACAATTGAAGCGAACGCATAGCCTACAATCATAATAAACAAACGAAGAAAAAAAAATATGAAGAAAATCGCTCATCTCTTTGTCGCGACACAACAAGTTTGCATGAAAATCAATTGTTTGCATTGCATTGGTGCGCAAATTGCAATTTTTCTTTTTTCACTTGCCATCTTCTTCGCGCGTCAGCAACGTTTCGTTTCGTTGTACAACTCTTACGCGAGAGACAGCGATAGAAAGGCAATGAAGAAGAAGAAAAAAAAACTCGTGTGTGAGCGTGTGAGTGCATGTGTATATATGTGTGTACGATTGGCTTTGTTCGTTTGATAAAAACACGATTGTCGCTGAAACGTCAAAATCTCGTACATTGTTGTGTGTTTGTGTACAGTATTACTTCAGCCCGACGGACGTCTATGTCGTGCTTAGCCAATCGATTGTTTACATTTGCAAAAGTGGCAACAAACACGGTTTTTTTTCTGTGCTTTTAATTTCCTCCGGAATCAGTCGCGACACTGTATATCACCATCACCACACATGACTTATTGATATGAAATACGCTAAATTTGTAATACGCTTGTCATTCTCATTTTTTCCCCCATTTTCGTATCGGATGGATAGTACCATTGCCAACGATGCCCACTCGGCCAAGAATGACCATTGACGGATTCCCAGAACGCCAAACCCGACGCCTCGAACCAGAAATCGAAAGGAAACTCAAAGAAATTATGACACGTAGTGGTATTATCACTATTGATGGCGCAGAATACAAAACAGACACCAAGGAATTGGATGATTTGGGCGAATTGGGCAATGGCACTAGCGGCCATGTAGTTAAAATGCGACACACACCAACCAACAAACCAATCGCGGTTAAGGTAATACTCGTTTTTTTTTTTACTTTTACGCACACAAAGTGTAACGTTTTTTCCCTGACGGATGCAATTGGCGTTCTTTTCGCTTCAATTCAGATAAACGATTCTGATTGAGCAAAACCCGATTGGGCATAATCTGAAACGAAATTTGATAACACAGTTACATTCTCCAGCTATTTTTAATGACTTTGATATTTTTAGTCTCTGTTTCATTCATTCCGTTCCTTTTTCCTCCGGTGTATATTATTATATATATATTTTTGAATATACTCCTATCTACCCTTTTCGTTATTTACGTTCGAACCACATGTGCTGTGTGCGTAAATACATTTATCGATAATTTCTTTTTTCAATTAATTTGTCGCTACGTTGATATGGTTTTTTCCCAGAATGAAATTAAATTTGTTTTTTTTTATCTATAACTCTTTCTGGATTATGGATAACTTAATATTTCTTTTCGCATAGAATCGTTTCGAAAACTTTTTTTTCCATAGACATTTATTCCACATAGATAAGTATAAAGATTAATGTTTTATTTGGTTTTTCTTTCTCTCTACAGCAAATGCGACGAACAAACAATTCCGAAGAGGAAAAACGAATTATCATGGATATTGATGTGGTGCTAAAATCACACGATTGCCCATACATTGTACATTGTCTAGGTTGTTTTATAACCGAAGCTGACGTATGGATTTGTATGGAATTGATGGCCACATGCTTCGATAAACTCACCAAAAAAACACATCAACCCGTACCCGAAGCCATTCTAGGCAAAATTACCGTTGCTGTAAGTGTTGCACTCTGTGTTGAAGGGGAATTTGGATTCTAATTCAACATTTAACTATTTTCTTCATCTGTTGTTCCTTGTTTTTCGTTTTATTCCCCAACATTCCCCATTCAATTCACATTTTTCGAACTAAAGAATCAACTTTTTACACCAAAATGTCATTTCAGAACGTTTTGACTCAGACCTCAAAACTTTTGAGTGTTCTGATTGGAATTTAATTCAAATTTTCTATCAAGATAATTTCCTTTTACCAGGAATTTTTTGTGATTGAAGTTACATTCGGCATTTTTTTTTTAATATAAAATGACGTTAAACCCAGTTTTTGATTGTAATAATTTATTTTTGGAGAATTTTTTTAATAATTCGAAAAAAAAATATGTTTTTGGTTTGGGATAATGTTCATTTGATAAATTTAATTCCAAGAAATTATAGACTAATTGTGTGATTCATTTTCGTTTGCAGACGGTAAAAGCTCTACATTATTTGAAGACTAACCACGATGTCATTCACAGAGATGTGAAACCATCAAATATACTGATTGACGAGCGTGGCAATATAAAACTATGTGATTTTGGAATTAGTGGTCGTCTAGTGGACTCAAAAGCAAAGACACGATCAGCCGGATGTGCCGCATATATGGCAGTGAGTATACATAGCCAGATCCTTTTACACAATTTCCCCACCCAATTTAATCCCATTCAACTTGAATCACATTATTGAAACTATGTACCATAGTTTGAAACACAGAAATTTATCAGAAAAAAAAAATAGTTTGGAATGAAAGAAAGAAAGAGAGAAAATTGATTAGAATGTGATTCTTATGGGATTCATAGAATTCGAAAAATAAAAAAATATGATAAATCCAAAGAAAAAATTCCAAACAAATAATAAACAACGACGACATTTGAATGAATATTTCATATTTGAAATGTATATTTGTACTTTCAGCCCGAGCGTATTGATCCAAAGAAGCCCGAGTATGACATTCGAGCTGACGTTTGGTCGCTTGGTATCACATTAGTCGAATTGGCAACTGGTTCATTCCCGTACAAGGGTTGTCATACCGATTTTGAAGTACTTACGTGCGTTCTGGAGCGAGACCCTCCAAGTCTGCCAAACGATCAGGGTTTTAGCGGTGAATTTCAAGAATTCGTAAAAAATTGGTGGGTTACTCATTATTGTAACATTTTTAATATCTAGATATAACGTTCCGAAGAATCCGGAAATTAACACCCATTTCCTTCCCATTTTCAGCCTTACGAAAGACTACCGCCATCGGCCGAAGTATCCGGAATTGCTCGAAAGCGCATTCATCAAAATGTATGAAAAAGCTGATGTGGATGTGGCCACCTGGTTTGCATCCGTCATGCACGATCAACAACAACCGAACAATACCGAACCACGCAGGTAAGGTATGCATGCATTCGATTGGTATTTTCATTTAACAAAAAACCGTATCCATTCATAGAAGGATTGCTTTTTGATTTTCTATGTTTAACAATATTCATTTGTGTTCGGTCACTGAATGAACAAATTTTGGTTTGGTTTTTCCTACTTTTTTTTGCATGATTTTGAATTGGTCGAATCGCGTGGTCATTTAACTCGTAGTTTTGCATGATTTTTTTTTTAAACTAATCGACGGGAATTTCACTTACGTTGGATCGAGAACTAATTTTTATCAGGCCGTTTTACTAATAAACAGTCATTTTAAGAAAGAATTCAATCAACACTATTTCAATTTCACTTATTTTCCTTCTCATTTTCTACTTCATTTCATATTCAGCTCACTTCTACTAATCCAAGTTTACATCAATTCCGCTTCTCGTAATCATACATGACTCAAAAAAAATTCCTCGTTTTTTGACACGATCTCCTTTTAGAATGCTTATTTTGCCTTGTGATTTTCCCATTCACATTTCTTTCCCTATTTAAACCGTCGAACATGCATCGCATTGATCACGGAAATTTATTGTTGACTATTTTATTTTAAAGATCAAGATTTTAATTGGTTTGGGAGAATTTAACAAAAAAATTATTAGAATTGAATCAATTATTTCGAATGAAATAAGTTTCAAAACGGAAATTCCCACGAAAATTGGTTACAAGTTGAACTTTTCAAGTTGATAGATTCATTGTTTAATCATTACAAGTCCAGTTCAGTCAATTGCTTTAGTAAAGTTGCTGGTTCAGATTTGAGAGTAGTATCATAGAGTCATAAATTTGTAGATTTTATCAATTAATTTCTTCAGAAACCCGGCTTGAAGTTCGAGGTCAAAGTGATATCGTACTGTTTACTGATAAAATATAATAACATGTACATTTTTTCTATAGCAACAGCTATAATAATAATAATAGTCAAAAAAATTATTCGTGATCAAAACATACACATTCAGTTGCTGTATCATTCAAGCACCTTTAACCCCAAAAAAAATTTTGAATTTTTTTTTTGCTGGATTTCGTTATAAATCGCACACCAAATTAAAGATTGTAATATACATAAAGTCCCTTCGGCATGATCTCATACTTTCAACGCCAACAAAACGAATCCACATGTCAACGTCATATCTTGCACATTTCGCGGAATCATAGTCTTATCTTTGTGTTTATTTGCATTCATATCATTCGAGTTATAAAATTGGATGTAGTTCACGCTATACAATTTCATTCATAAAATGAACCACAAGTCAAACTTACAAGATCCATCCTCCACCCATATGCACACATGCATCCAAAACACACATACATAGTGTTGTTCCCATTTTGAGAATGGTTTGTGTAAGTTGTTCATGGAATATTTGGTTGCTGAACAATTCTATCTGTTTCATTTTTTTTCTAGTGATTTTGTGTTTTATCAACAACAAAAACTAGATTTGTGTATTTCTCTTATGGTTTTTCTTTTTTTGTGTTTTTTTTTCTTTTTTCGTTTTTTTTTCTCTCCCCAAATAGGTAACTTATCCCTAAAACTAAAAACAAAAAAATCAAAAAACACAAAAATTCTATTTATGTAAGTATCGATTTGTTGATCACACTCGATAAAAATTCGCATAAACATTTTCCGTCGCAAACAAAGAAACAAAATTTAAAATGACCAACAATTATGATCGGAATTAAGGCCAATGAACAATTTTTAAATATAGTTTCAACAATCCGTGTTAATTGTTTTTTTTTATTCTTGCTCTCCCTTGATAAGTTTTTTTTTTATTCTCTTCTTGTGATTATTGAGTTTTATAATATTTGTTCCGTGTTGTTTGTCCGTGTGAGAGAATGTTTATTGTTTGTTTTTCCAGTGAAACCGTTTTTTTTCCTCTTTCTTTTCTTTTCTGATAACTCGGTCGGTTTGTTTTCGTACAATCGAAAGAGAGAGTGAGAAAAAGAAGAAGAAGAAGAAGCAACAGCATTGTACGAGAACCGTTTACACAATCAATCGTATTAAGTGCACAATTGCGAACGAATTTTTTTTATCGCTTACTCTTGAAATTATCACGTCATCTTTTCTTGCTGACATTATTTATTTTTCTGTTCTCGTTCCCATTCCACTCAACAACAACAACAATACGCTAGTCGCATGTTTCTGCCACTAAAACAAACAGAAACGCAACGTCTTTTTTTATCGGATCAATTTCAATTTTAACCTCCTCGCATTGGCATGATTATCACTAATTTCTTTAGTTTTTTTTTCTCTCTCTTTCGGTCGGGACGACGATTGCGTCGTTAAAATTTGTTTTTTGTGCTCAATTCGCGGAAAAGCGCAAATTTAACCGAAATTGAATAACAAATTAGAATTGAGTATTTATCGCATTTAACACGATTCATTCGAACTAAATTCAATCAATTTAGAAATTTTTCTCGAGCATAGTTTGAGCAGCGGACATATTTAATTGTGGCTCAGACTATTGATCTAATCAAAATAACACCGATCATTTCGATTTTTTTTTCCTACCAAACAAACATAGAATAAATTTTGAAATGTAAAACGATTTTAACTGTAGTTTTTTTGAACGTAACGTAATATATTTTTTCTGCTATGCCGTAGCATGTCCCGACATTACTCGTGAGACTAGATTTTCTTTTGAATATGCTTGTTTTTTTAAAAATAAACTTGTAGTTTCTTATCAGATTAATTGAGGGTTTTTTTCTGTTAAATTAAAGATAAAGAAAACATCAACTAGCTGATTTTTAACTGGGACTTTGTTTTTGATATAGGCAACCATCACTTGTAGCGGATAAGAGATTTATAAACCAAGTGCCGTCGTCCATCGAATCAACGACAGTACCAATCACATCAGCATCTTCGGCGGCGACGACGTCGTCGTCACACATACCAATCTATCAACCATTTAGCCATAAAAAAACCAATTCGAAATTAAGCAATGGATTCAATACCGAGCCACAGCCCAGTCAATCAAATCCATTTCAATGCAACGAACCATCAGACAGCAGCAACAGTCTGCACAAACCTAGTGAAACGAAATTAAATGAATCTATGTCATCAATGCCAATTGCAATATCCTCGCCATCATTTGCTCATCAATTTTCACCAATCCTTAGTCGAACGTCATCGATTAGCGAACGAGATAGCCCGTTGCCAATGATGCCGAACTTTGTACGCAGTCCACCACATGTGGCAGCCATCATGTCGTCGTCGACGACACGAAATATCGACAATTTTAGTCCGTTAGAAAAAACAAATTCAATACTAGCTTCAAAGTCACCGCAACCAACCATGGAGCAAACTATGACCATTCCACGCAATGACGAATTTACACCGAGAATAAGCAATCTTAACTATGGTTACCCACAGCCAGAACCAACGATCGCCACATTGGAACATCAACGCATTGAACATCTCAGACAAAACGTTTCACCGCAAATGCTTCATTTCCAACAGATCGAAGAGCGCATGGTCGATCAACTCAATGAATTGTACAAAGCCACCATGATGATGCACACCAACCAAAGGGACACACCACAAAGGACACTTGAACATGACGAAGTTGACCGCATTAATCAACCGTATTTGCAACAACAGGAACCAATTTATAATCCAGGTGAGTGAAGCGTCATGGATTTTTGTTGAGTTACGGTTGTTTTGAGGAATTTTCAAGAAAATGAAACAAAATTTCAAACTGAACCAGCTCAACAACTCAAATAAACTATTCTATATAATAACATAATAATAATAAAAAAATTAAAAAACGGTTTTAAAAAACGAAAAAAATGCAAAAACCATAAATAAATTCAAGTGAAAAACAAATCCCGCACCAAAAATAGAGAAATGTCAACTTCAAAAAACCTCAAAATCCCCTGACTATTCGTAATTTTTGTTTGTATCTCAAAACATGTTTCAATTAGTAGATAAAGCAATTGACTAACCGAATCGCTTTTCTCCTAGGCCCTCACAATGCGTTGCAAAGAAACAATTCGTTATCACCATTTCTGCAACGGAAATACTCACTGCAAGCGCATCAACAGCGACTGAATAGCGATCAGAATGCGCCGCGCTGGCGCCCACAGTATGGTCGATCGATAAGTGCTACAGCGTCGCCGAATTTGGATGCCCATCGACGTTATCAAACAGCGATTCCGGTGCTCGAAACAGACAGACCTCAAATGGTGCGACTCAAAGGAAACACTAGTCCAATAGGTAGGCTTCGTACAATTTTTTGGGTTTTTCCTTTCATTATCAATTTTGCTATATCCTCTGGCGCTGTTTAACATTCGAAATAATTAAATCTTCCATTACACAGTGCTCCAGCGATTCTACCATCAGCAAAATCAATTGCGTGAAAAGGAGGCGAATGGGCAAGCGTACAATAGTCCATCGCATATCCCAATTCCGCACCCACAACCGCTATACAAATCCGAGTATGAGAAGCGAATAAATGAGTTGAACGAAAAAGAGCACCAGCAACAGTCGAATCCATTTTTACGGCAAATACCAAAGCTAACGCACAAATTGAACCCATTCAAGCAGCAGAGTCCAAAGTTGAATGCGCGCGAAGAGCCACTCTACGCAAATTCACATATTCCAGTGTATCAGAAAAACTATGAACATTATGATGGTGTGCCAAAGGAGAATATGCATCGGCAGCGAATACCTGTGAATCCACCGGCTGACATTTACTATGAGAAAACGGCATATCCAGCAGTCGCCTATGAAGATCAGCACTATCCAAATGAGTACAAAAACGTTTACAATGCAACCACGAGCGCGATGAGCAAAGAGAAAAAGAGCAACGGCACCAAAAATACCTCGGATGATCCAGGTAAGAGCGATTTGCGCACACTTCCCACACACGCTAAATACCAAATAGGTTCTAATCGCTTACAAGTTTTAAGCTACCATTTTGAAGTTATGATTTGTAGCTCTTTTTCGCCTCAAACAAATCCAAATTTACTAGTAGATGTGATTTTTTTTTCGTTTTCATTTCTACAATCATATTGACCAATTCACTTATTGGCATTTTCTTTTTTTTTCTTTTTTCTATTTTCATAACAAACCGCCTCCATGTAACTTCTTTCTCTCTCTTTTTCTATGTGTGTCACTGTGTTTTGTCTAATGAACTTATGCTTTGCCCAATACAAAAACAATATTGCATATATCGCCATCACATCATGATCATAAAAAAATACTCTCTGTGTTTGTTTATCGTTCATGTAATATCAATTGGAAAACCAAAAAAAACCTGCTGTAAATATTCAAAATTGTTGCCACACACCCACCCACGCAAATTTGTCGCTTGTTATGTCCGCAAAAAAAAACAAACCAAAACATAAATCATTGAAATTGGCCACCAATTAGGATGGTTTAATTCGCTGGCTGGCATAGTTAAACGTCGATTTGCTTCCTACGTTAAATCCCATTTAGCCACATCATCTGGTGATGGCAGCAAAAAAGACCGCGAACCACCACAATACGGACATCCATTGCAACCAACGTCACCGTATCACTTCGACAAATTGCGCCAAGTTGCACCGACCTCGTCGTCAATGCCATCCAGCCCACATTTCGGCAATCGACAACACATCGATCAACATTATGAACAGGATCGAATGGCCGCACATAGTCCACGCGTGTTGAACAACTTTGATAGGAGGCATCGTAGCCCAGATCCACCACCAAGGTAAGATTAAGAAAAGGAAACGTTTAAGTTAGATTCTATTTTTTACGCATCTTCATAGGGAATAATGAACTTTTGAAATCGACATTTAGCCAATATCAGTCGACATTTTCTCCACAAATTAGAATCCAAAGTTACAGTGATTGATTCATTTTTACATTATTTTTTTTTCATTATTAATTTGATTCGTTATTTTGCATTTTTTTATTGTTCAAAATCTAATTATTTTCTTCTTAACTTTGTAACGGGGCATCAATTTTCAGATATAACAAGGGTCAATCACCTTTGTTGCTCCGGAGGAATTTGCTCGAATACGGAAACCATCAGGTCGCTCCATCACCTTTACTTCCTAGAAGGTACATTTCGTCTCATTTTCGACGTCCAATTTATTTATTTTTGCATTTCTGTGGATTTTTAATTCAACTTTTTCCTTCAAAATCTATCATTTTTGAACAAATTTTTCATATTGGGAAAAATTTCGTGTTGGAAAAAAATTTGCATTTTTTATTTTATCATCATAATTTCATTCTCTTAAGAATAATTAGGATTATTTTGGCAAACATGTTTGCAATAAGATTACAATCAATAATTGTAAAAAAAATTCCCCATATCCTGCCCTCAACTAGGTACATAATCTCAACATCGCCTCCATTGCCGCCGCCGCGCAAAGGATCGGATAGTATACCCGGTTCACCGCAGCAGCTGCGTGCTCGAATTCATTACACGCCCGAGCCCCAGCGTCGAATTTATCGGACGGGTATTGATCAATGAGTGGCACTGCAAATCCTGGCCTTGTGATCATCGTACACATTTGGTGAATAAAACGAATATCAACATTTGGTGTGTGATCATGGTATGGATTCGAAATCATCAGTCTTACTCTGCTTAAACCGAACTGCTGCCGGTTTAAATCAACGTTCTTTTGTATCGATATTTAGCTTATATACTCCGTAAATCATTATTTTTTTTCGCGTGCTTATCGCACCAACGTGTGGCAATCGACTCGCACCAAAATCATCGGGTCCTTGAAGTTCTAGTCAAAATATACAATTTCGAAATCGAACATTTCTTCATGTTTTTCTATAATATACCAATTTACGAAAAAAAAAAAAGAAGAGAGAATCATTTTCCATTTGCAACAATCAAATCGGTTTCTCATCCTCGATGCGATCGAAGAACAAGAATTTCTTCGTTCGTTTTTTTTTTGTAAACACTGTCGTTGGACTTTGGCATCAGTCAAAAACAATAAAATAATCTCATTCATCCTGAAGCGAATATAATTATAAAATAATCAAATGAAGTAATTTTTTAATCACAAAAAATCAAGAACAATTTAATATTAGGATTGAATAAAAACACAAGAAAAAAAATCTATTTTGCATATAATTTTGAAAATATCGTATTTTTCATTGAATTTTCATAACTTATAATCGCCAATGGAATGAACGACGATTAAGGGTGCAAACAACGGGAGACCGAGCATGAGGAGAGATTAAAAAAAACGCGTGCGGCAATTTATTTCGATGGGCGTGTTGGGATTTGGCATATTTTTATCGTCAATAGAAAAATTGTGTTCGAATCAAACGAAAGACTGCAAAAAAATCATGTCAACATCAAATCGAGCAATATAATCAGAAATAGTTATCTTTATCCGAAATATGCCGGATTTTCTCTTTCATTGCTTTGCTCAAATTAATTTATGAGTTTTTTTGAATCTGGAATATGATGAAAGTATTCAAATCCAATCGCCCATCCAGATGTTTGGGTATACACGTGTTTCGTCGGGCTCTTAAACGATAACTTAATACGATAAGTTATTTAAATAAAAGCAAACAAACAAAAAATTCTACTAGAAAATATTGTAATATGTCGCCATGGCAAATTGTTTCCGTTACTGGGGCCATTTCGCTTAACTATTTATGTAATAAAAATAAAAGAAAATGAAAATTTATCAAACAATTGTGAGGAGTTTATTCTATTTTCGAAATTTCTCTTTTTGCGTCATTCTTTTCCATTTTTTATCAATTTCTTGATACAAAATCCAAATTCTCGTCTTACAGCATCATTCTCGTATAACGATAAGACTAACGATCGATGTGGATTTACAGAACAGGGATAATTTGAATCCCAATTGATTAAAATTAGACTTCCTAATTCTAATTTCAGCTGTTATTCAACTTTTCATTTCTTTTTCTATTTTCCTGATATTTTATCCAATATCGTTGGTGTGAATTTCAGAATAAAAGAAGAAAATAAGAACGTTTACAAAAACAGATGTTGGGTCATAAAAACAATTACATTTATCAACGGAAATACTCACTCAAGCCCTCGCGTAAGCATTCAAAAATAATTATTACGCTTATCAAAAACGACAGCTGTTATGAATTTAAAACCTAGGGGCTAGGAACAAGTTGTGTCATTCGTATGTATTCGCATGAATTCATGCGTTCGTGGCTTTGTTATTGTTGTTGTACACTCACTGCGCTGCGAATGTCTCGTATACACAATCTACAAGAATTCACGAAAATTCGTACGAATTCGTCTCAAGCGCTTGTGTTCTTACCCCCTAGTTTAAAACAAAATCGCTGGCTTAATTACGAGAAAAATGATTTCAATTTTATTGAAATTTTTTATTGCATTTTTTCGTTGGGGAAATTTTCAAAAATATTTTACTTCGTTACTCAATGTAAGGCAAATTGTGGTTCATTCGGTATTGTGTGCATATTACATTGACATTGCCAATTTGGCAATATACTGTTGAAAAAAAAATGCTTAGGTATAAATGTTTTCAGAGAGACTCGACCGATTTTGAAATTGTGAGTATGCTTTGGAAATACATAAATCTATGGTTTTACTGCAATTCAGAAATAAATTTCAAGCAAAAAAGCCAATGAAATCGTCTTTTGGGGCTTTATGATTCAATATCTGAGATAACAGGGAACAGCATTTGCATTCTTCTTAAATGAGCACTCGAAAGAGTATCTCAAAATAGACTGTTTTGAATGAATAGACTAGAACACAGTTAATTTTATGAAAGATTTATTCATTGAGTGGTCATTTGAGCAGAGTGCAAATGCTGTTCTCTGTTATCTCAAATATTGAATCATAAGGCCCCAAAAAATGATTTCATTGCCCTTTTTTTGCTTGAAATTTATTTCAAAAATGTGTGAAATAAAGAAAAGGCAGAAATATAATTTTTCATTGAATAAAATTTAAAAAAATACCAAATGTTGTTAAAGCCTCATTTACAGTTCGAAAAAAAATTGCATTGATGCGAAAAAAATTACATTGATTTTTGAGTACCTAACTCGGGCATGCGAAAAAACAATTTGGTATTCCCCACAATATTTTTTCATACAAAAGAATGGACCGGCAATTGTTTTGCATGCAAAAAAATGGTGAGGAATACCAAATATTTTTTTCGCATGACCGATTTGGGTACAATCAATGCAAATTTTTTTTTTCGCATGGTGAACTGTAAATTAGGCTTGAACTGTTTTCACAAATTAATTATAATCGTCGATTAGTAAAAATAATTTGCCATGTTAAATAAAACGAAAAAATTCTTGTTTTGGAAAATAACAACAGAGAGAAAATCATTTTTCTTCAAAACAAAACATCTAGAGAAAAAATCTGCAATTTTGTAGCAAAAATCCATTATTATTATTATTTTTTAAAAAAAATTCTAAGAAAACGAATAAAAATACAACGAGAAAAATGCCATTTCGTACAAATTTAAAACCAAAGAAATTGTTAGTTCGAAAAAATTTCCCATGAATATGAAAATTCATGGAATTCTCTAATAAATTTTTTAATTCCAAAGAAACCGAATACAAAAACCATTTCAACCGAAACTGAGCAATTTCTTTTTGATCAAATTTGGTGAACTAGCTCAAATTTGTCTGGGAAATGGTTAAATGTCGTCATTGACAGACGTTGTCAAATGTATATGTCGAATATGATTGGCGCTCCAATAAAAATTCCCTTCGAAATGTCATTTTATGACGTTTAGCTTTACATGCGATACATTTCACCGAAAGAGAAAAAAAAGAGCTCAGATTGGCACTGCATCTTATCGTCGTCGAGTGTGCGACGCATAGATTTTAATTTCTACTGTAAGTCAATTCAATTGTCAATAAATAAACCGAACCCAACCGCAAACTCCATCGGCTGGCAGAGTGCTAGAGTGAATATATAATTTAGTTAATAAAATAGTTAGCATATTTTTAGGTGATTAAGTGTGTATAATGATTACATTAAGTGGAAGCAAAGGTCTTCGACAATCGAGATATTTATTGATCAACATTATATCGAGTGCAAAATGTTTGTCCACGCAAACCGTTCGAAATGCAAGGTACGTTTCATTCATAATGCAAAAATTCGATCAAAGTCGTCGTTGAAACGCGCAAAATTTGCACGAGCAAACGTTTATATGACCAGCTGTTTAGTTGTGAACACTATAAACAATTGACGTTTCACCATTTGCGCATACGGTTATATAAGCTTTGTTTTGATTCACAACATTGATGGCGTTCCGTGACAAAAATAGATTGATTAGTTTTAAGTGAGTTTGATGATTGTTGATTTGTTTTTTGTCAATTTGTAGACTGGCTGAAGTGGGAAAATTGGTGGTACCAAAAGTGCACGAGAAGTATGAAACGGGCCAATTTTTTTTGCATCGCGTGTTTGGCTATCGGGGAGTCATTCTATTTCCGTGGCGTGCCAAAATTTATGACAGAAATACGTATACAACGCCTTATGGCGATTCAACCGCTGAAAAAACGTCGCCAATTGCCAATGAAACAGATACATTGAATAAGGATACGACGTCAACGGCGGCGACGGCTTCAGATGAAGGTGTAACTAAAGGTAAACAAGGTTGGGAAAATATAGAAACAATTAAAGAATTTTCACCCACTGAAGGTGATTCAACGAGGAATGATGGCAAAAAGGAAGTATCGGTCGATATTCAAACCTACTACCAAGTTCTAATTGACTCCAGAGATTGTCCACATGTCGTAAGTTGTTGATTAACTTTTTTCTAATTTGTTCTTATTCGCGGCTTTGGCTTAAGTCATTTATCATGCCCATTTCATTCTCCAGATTCAAAACTGGCTCATTTTTAATCGATCATAATCGACTTTATATCAACAATTAATTTACCTATTCGTTCCTTCATTCCAGAGAGCCCAAACGGAAGCCGTCACATTCTTGAGCAACAAAGATTCGAATCGAAATTTGTATGCAATTCCTGGACTTGACTATGTGTCCCATGAAGATATTATCCCTTATTCGGTGTGGAATCGTGATCGCAAACCGTTGCGGCATGAGCTGTTTGATAAATTTTTGGTGCACACCGGCAAGAACGATGTTTCGTTCAAGGCATCGGAAACGTTGTACGCGTGGCAGGAGAAAAATCATCCATGGCTTGAATTAACCGAGGTTCATCGAGAAACAACTGAGAATATACGAGTGACTGTGATACCGTTTTATGTGAGTTTCGGATTGTCACTCGCATCGGCTGTCGTCCGTTGTGATCTTTTCAAATCTCCAATGGAATCTCTGATCTCTATGAGAATAACAGAAAGGAAAATAAGTGAACTAGGAAACCATTTTTTCAATTTCAGATGGGCAGCAGGCAGACACCCCGTACACCAGTTCATTGGGTTTGTTATCTATTTTTGATAAGAAAAAAAAACAGAAAGAATTAACAACATGAAAATCAAAATCAGTTCTTTAACCCAAATACGCAAAATCTAAATCGATGTTTTTTTCTTTCTACAGTGGCGATACAGCATTCGTTTGGAAAACTTGGGTCAATTGAGTGTGCAGTTGCGTGAGAGACACTGGAGAATATTTGCTCTGTCCGGCACATTGGAAACAGTCCGAGGCCGTGGTGTTGTTGGCCAAGAGCCAATACTCAATTCACGGGCACCAGCTTTTCAATATTCGTCGCACATTAGTCTGCAGGCTCCATCGGGCCATATGTGGTGCGTTTTATAGCGAATTGCGATTATTTGAATTAGAATCAATAACCATTGATACACTTATTATAATAAATAAATATTCATTCACACGTACTAATTCCACCATCTGTCTACTCATTTCAGGGGTACATTTTTAATGGAACGAGAGGATGGTATTAGTTTCGATTGTCGTATTCCGCCATTTTCCCTGGATAGTACATCCAATTTGGATACCAATGAATATAATGAATAAGGCCTCTTTCCACCATAATCATTCAAATTTTCATAAATTTTGCTTCAAACCTCCACTTACAACGCTGTTCTCAAATCGAACTGCATAGGACTTTCTTTTTTTTTTGTTTAGAAAAAAGTAAAAAAAAAATGCGAAAAAAACTATTAAAATTATTTAAAGAACGTTAAAAAATGGATTTTTTTAGTCAATCACTTGTCTTTTATTCTATCTTATGTTAACAAGGAAATCATAGCTTAAATTGTATAAATTGAAACGAAAAATTTATTTGTAAACTGTAAAAACGAGAGACTAAAAGTCGCCACAATACAATTTTGTTGGATCATCATCTTTGTCCTCGGGATCTGGTTCATCAAAGTCTCGTTGTTTGACGTCGGCATCTTCTCCATATTGAATGATATTATCTATGATCAGCAGCAAGTCAGCGATACTTTCTTCATCGTTCAAATTCAACGGTGTGAATCGAACCAGACTAAAATCTTCAATGAGATTACCAATGGCTTCGGATAATTTACGATACTTTCGTCCCCATGACGATTCATTGGTGACCTGGCCGAGTAATGCACGTGCATCTGGCTCTAAATACTTGTCCAATTGGCTGCGTGCCGATTTGCTGAGCAAATCCATTTTACTTATCACGTTTATATGCGGCAATTCCATGTTCACCATAACCGATAATGCAGCCATGGTACCCGATAGAAATTTCGCGCCATCGATCATAAACTGTGAGTCGAGTAGAAAAACACTGGCCACTCGAAAGTTCCACGATGTCAACAATTCGACCAATTGTCGGCCAACGTTCAGATGTGTGTACAGTTCAATTTGGCCGGGCATGTCAAAAATGATGTAATCATCATCTGGTTCACCTTCTAAGGCATCCTCATCACCATCACCACCGCCGCACAGTTGCTCTTTGAACCATTCTTGATTTTCGATGAGGTATTCAATGCAAAACACCAAACCACCATTTGGACCAAAGTGAAGCTCTTCATCCGACATCGCATCATCCAAATGGATTAGCTCTCGAATGTCGATCAATGGCTGATAGTCAAAGTGTTCAGCAGCTGGATCCAAATTCACAACATCAATTATACGCTTCTCATCCGCTGCATGCCGTTGGATGTTAGCACAATACGTTGACTGTTGGAAACAAAAGTGAATATTTTTCATAAAAAACTAAAATCAAAGTGGTTCTGAATGAAGGTCAAGTATTTACCTTTCCAGAGCCAGCCGGCCCCATTACCAATTGAGCGTATCGCATTTTGTTGTGTGAATTTTTGCACTTAACTTACTCACAATGAGTTCAAAACATTCAATAAATGTGTGCCTTGTTTGAGTGAAATGTCAAATAGCACTACATAACCTCACTTTTACCACGGTCGCTTCGAATTGTCTAATGTCGTTCTCGTTTAGAGTGCGTTCATAATTATTTCGGCTATTCGTTAAATCCAATACGAATGACACTTGTTTTCTTGTCATTATCTTGTCATTTGATTGTTGTTTTCTTTCGTTGTTCTCCACCGCACTCAGCTGCAATTCATTCTTAGCACAAATCCGCTACAATGTGTAATTCTATTGTTAATCTTTGTGCGTTTTAGATTTATTTCGTTCTTCTCTCATGTGCATGTTGTTCAAACTATTGAGACGTTCATATTAGATAAGTTAATAATAAGTGAAATAAATGCCGGCTATTTGGATGTTCATGCAATTGTGAACAACAACATTTACCGTACAGTATAATTATTTCAAACAGTTTATATTAATGTGCTTATGCTTGCAAAAAAAAAATTAACTTCCGATAAAACACACGCACAAAGTCAGTGAAGAAGTCAGTACGAACGTTCTGGAGAGAAGAAAGTGAAAATTGATGCAACATGGAGACACAGGTTTGAAATAGTTTTTTGTATGTTATTGTAATGTAAACAACATTCAGAGAACTTATTATGCAAATTGTATAGACTTTTTGATTTTTTTCCAATTTTTCTTAGAACTAAAAATAAGTTTTTTTTTCATGACATGACAGCGTCTCTTTGGCTCTCTCTTTTTATCTCATTCAATAGACGTGAATATGTTTCAATGGATACTTTGATTGAAACAGATCCATTCAACGGTACAAATTCATTGCCAATGATTTGAATCACGTTGTTCACGATCCGATTGATATGGAATCTTATTAAATATCATTTTTATAGTCTTTTGTCATTGAAACAAAAATATTTTCAACACTTTTTTATTGGTTCCTTATTAAATTGTATTTTAATTTTACTAATGATATTTTCGTTTTCTCGTTAGGTGGAAGATTTCAACTGGAATCTCCGTCTGTTCCTCGATGTTTTGGGTTCTTACCAAACAAAAGTAAATAAGGCAAATCCAGCCACACTTGAATTGCTTGAAAAAACATTGGATTCGATTAGCGATCTTATTGGAAATGTAGAAGAAGTCACTTCAGCTGGCCAAGGTGATGCAATTGTATGCTCATTTGATGAAACCAACTTCGAGGTTAAGCGGACCATCTTTTGTCGGATTTGCAAAGTAGGCCATGACTTTTTTTATATATCTTTTTATGCATAAGAGTACTTTTCTATTGAATCGGAATTTGTTGTCCATTTATGAAAGGATTTTCATTATTTTATATTTATAACCTTACATTTTTTATTGAGGAGATTCGCCTGAATTGCATTGCATTTTTATTTGCATTTTTTTCTGTTTCAATTTTCTCTGAATTTGCTTTTTTCTTCGGAATTTTTGTTAGTTTTGCTAAGCGCTCGCGATTTTGAATGGTTTGAAAAAGATACATAGTATTTTTTCTCAAGTATTTACTTTTTTTTATTGTGTCCGAAGTTTAGTTTACAGTTAGTGCGAGTATTTAAAACGTTCCACATTTTTCTATGCATTATAGATCTATTGTTTATTTTACATCAGTCAATGACAGATAGCTGAGAATATATGCTGAGCATAGGAACTCAGCAAGCTGAGATTGGAACGTTTGGATTTGGTGACTTTCGTGCAAATTTATGTGGAATTTTGGTGGAGTGATTGACTGCTATCTGTCATTGACTGTTTTACACCGATCAATTAAATTGTGAAATGATGCGAGTATAACTTACTCATGGAGTGTTGATGGGGTGTAATGGAAAATGTGTTCCAAACTCCCCTCCATCATAAATTTGTTTGAATAGCACGTCACAAAGTCAAAATATCCCAATCGAATATGTACATATTTTATACACACTGTGCATGAAATGTACACAAAATTTCGCACACTTTGCCATACTTAATTAACGTTACAAGTGTGTACACACAGTAAAAATTGTCGTTACGAATTCCCCATTGGGAATCTCAGCTTGCTGAGTTTCTATGTTCAGCATATATTCTCAGCTATCTGTCATTGACTGTTTTACACCGATCAAATAAATTGTGAAATGATGCGAATATAACTTACTCATGATATACTCATACTTTGATCGTCAACCAATTGGATTTCAATTGTAAACCGATGATTCTTCTGGCAGAAGACTTCTGCACTATTCACACTAAATGCACACACTTTTCGATCAGAGTAGCTAATATTTTGCACCAAAACTATGTGAAAATGAATAGCCCCCACCGCTTGATTGTGGGGCAATCACACAATGCATGAATGAAACAGTAAACAGTAAAATATGTGGTATTGTTGTTGTTAAAGGCATACTCTTTGTAGACTCGAAAATATTTTTTATGCTTAAGAAAATATTTATAGAGTAAATATATGAATTTTCTTCTGCATGGCCTGGGTCAATTTATTGACCATGCCTAAAATGTAGGCTTCAACTTCACTACGGCAGGCAAAACTAACATACGATCATCATACCTCATAAATTTTGTAAAACGAAAATATTTGCATGGCATTTTTTCGCACTTGAACTGTAAACTACACTGAGAAAAACTTTTCTGAAAAGATTACAGATAGTGTTTGTAAATGGTTAGTTTCCAAATTTTTTTATATGGAGGTTGTGAATTGTCAAACTTTTTCTGCAATACGATATTACCGAAAAAGTTCATTCTTTTGGTTTAAAAAAAAATGTTAACAATCTTTCTCTGAATCTTTTTCAAATTAAATGATTTATTTCTATACCAAAAAATGTTTCTGATAAAATAAATTGCCGATCATTGTCACAATCTTTCATAGGTTGACATTGCTGCATCACGCCTCAGTTATTTGCTTCATTGTGCTGATCCGAAGCACAATACCAATCTGATCGATAGACGGTCGACACAAGGTAGCGCTCTGGATCAAAATGGTGTATTCGATTCGAATAACAACAGCAAAGGTGATCATGTGGATTTGGGGGCCAAGAAAAATAACGCACCAATCCAACATCAAAGCTACCATCAGAAACCATTACAAAGCACCAAAGAAGCGAACAACTCAGCATACATTAACAGCATGGCAGATCTAATCGCCAGTCTAGATGCTCGGAAAAAATCGGATGTTGTCAAAACCAGTGGTTTGAAAGAAAACAATGGCAATAACAATGGCATTCGCTCCGACAAAGTCGTTGTTCCTACGGTGATTCCGAATGTGTTTGACGACAACATTTACGATTTCATTGAATTGATCGGCAAGCAAGGTGATCCGACAAAAGTCAATGGACCATCACGGGTTAATGTGCCACAGAAAGAAAATGAGCCACCGAAGGCAAGTTCAATCAACTCAAAATATGGCTTCAACAAAGGTGATCCGGCCAATAAAATACCATCGGAATCAGATCACCCAAGCGCAATGCGGCCAAATTCGTTGCTATCCTGGCGAGAACGATCGTTGAATGAATCTGCTCCATCAGCTTGGCGCGCAAAGAATGATGGATCTGATGCTGCCACAGTTGTCACATCAACACCTGTAACGGACGCTGTACCGGTTGCTACTGCTCCAAAACCAGCCACCATCGCAAAAGTCTTCCCAACTCCAGTGACTAAAAGTATCATTCAAAATGGTGCAGTTCTATCCGGTGCTGGTGTTAAGCCGTGTGCCACGTACGAGTTGAACAATCTGTACATCAAATTCCCACATTTGAACCCAAACAAAGTGGCCAATCCACTGAAACCAGTTCCATTGAAGGATGTAAAGCGTCCGGCAGCTACGAACAAGGATGGAAAGACACAAAAAATTGACGATCCAAAATTGAAGGACTTTTTTGATAAAGTCAATAAGGAACACGCTAAAAAGTCTCAGCAACAATTGAATTCGACGCAATTGAAGAAATCTGAATTGACAAACAGTTTGATGTCATTGCCAGTTTTTGCCAACAACAATACAACGGGTGAACATCAGGCGATGAATCGCATGCCTCCACGCTCGGCTTCGTCATTCAACTTGACCGGTATTACGAGAATCGAGGGTTCCAATCCACAAAAGGGCAGTCGCAAATCATCGCCACAGGTGAATGGCCAAAATGGAAACAACCGAAATCAAAATGCAAATGCAAAGATCAAAGGTGAGTACTGTATTAAGTTCACAAAAATATGTCATCTGACATTTTCGTTTTCATTAAAAGGTTCTCAAGGTCAAAATGGTTCATCGCCGTCCTCAACTCCTAACGATCCGAAGAGCAAAGGTGCCATCCCAAAGCAAAAAAATACACCACAAGCATCAGCATCTAATCAGAAGTCGACCAACGATTCATCGAAGTCAAATCAAAACTCTCAGAAGAAGGACGTCACAAGTAAACCTGCAAAACCGAACGAAATGAGTGCTGTACCAAAGGATCCGGCTCCTGTAGTCAACCACGAGCAACTGAAACGTATACATTTTTCTTTGATTTATGTTTTTACTTTTGAGTTTGAGTGACCCTTGAGTGAAAAACATCTTGTACTTATCCAATATTTTTCCATTATTTGCATTTTCATCCGCAGGATTTTTCTCGGGGGATCTATCAGCACTGATAAGTTTGATGGTAAGTCTCAACATGCGCCGAGATAAAACCGCAACTCAACAGAAAATCACTGAGTCGATCCAAGTCGCGCTCAAACCTAGATACGAAACGGTGAATTGCCATATGATCGGATCGCATGTTTATAACATAGCCAAAGGTGGCCTGGCTACGTTGGATGTTTACCTTGATTTGCGTGAGTGGAAATAGCACTGCTTCTTTTGTGATATTGAAACAATTAATTGACACCCATAGGAATGGGTGTCAATTCGTTCTACAATTTAAAAAATGAGATTCTATTTTGATGAACATCTTGTCGTTCTTTTTTTGTTGGCATCCATTAATTCGTTCCTATTGGCATTTATCGATTCCACAGACAAAAGTTTCAATACGGATAAATCGGGTCAAGTATTCGTGAATGGAATGAATGACACCCTGAAATTTTTGTCAAATAGTGGCGAATGGTCTGATGCAAAATGCTCCGAACAAACTCGATACGGCATTTTATCAGCAACTCATACAGCCACAAGTCTCAAGTGCAACTTTTCATTCGGTACGGGCGTCGGAGTGCGAAACACTGATGTCATCAATAGCCTATTCACTGCACAACCAGTCGGTATGTATTTTTTTTTTTCGAAGGAAATGTAATAAAATGTGAGATTTGAAATTGGTTTGATAACACCGTACAACATTTTTCAAAAAAATTTCTCACACATGAACACTTTAAAGGCCCGTTGATAGAGCTCAAAATTCCAAACAAAACTGTATCTTTAGTTTTTCCGTGGGACGTCAAAATTTCTTTTTATCGCGTTGTGTATTTTTTTGCTCAAACTGGATATGGAGCACTTCTTTGATATTTTGGGACGGCTATATTTCGGTGAAGCGTAGGGAATATCGTTTCAATATTTTCAGCAAAGTTGTAGCTCAGAGTCCAATTAACAAAATTTATGAACATTCTATACCTTAAAAATCGCATCTGACTAGGCTTATAGGGCAAAATGTCGAAAAAAGGGCGATTTTTCCCAATTTCTCCCATTTTTCCGACCATAACTCGTAAAATATCCATTGTTTTTGTTTTCTGTCTTCAACATTATTGTAGCCAACGTCGTACTTAACAACTCTTTTGAACATATTATTCCAAAAAAATCACATCTAGCCTACTTTTTTGGTTCAAAGTCACTTGTCGCTACCAAACGATATCATCAAGCATTTTCGGAGTTCTGTAACTTCTCAACTACTCGAATTAGAGCAGTAGTTTCTGAAGCAACTTTTTGGTACTTCTCATGGGCTTTGCAGACCAAGTACTAAAAATACTAAAAGAGTACTAAAATGTACTAAAAAGTGCTAAATCCTCCCAATGGTCCTGGACAACTGTGTGTGATGTTGCACGACACTACGAAGTACTAAATAGTACTAAAATTGACAGAATTGAACTGTTACAGATCCTCATGAACGTTACTCGCTGAAATATTTGGATAAACTTTCAAAATATTACAGTTCAAACAGCTGACAAATCCATGAGATGTAGGGCTAACATTGAACTAAATACCAATATTTCAGCAAGTAACGTTCATGAGGGTCTGTAACAGTTCAATTCTGTCAATTTTAACTCTAATTCGAACTATTTAGTACTTCGTAGTGTCGTGCAACATCACACACAGTTGTCCAGAACCATTGGGAGGATTTAGCACTTTTTAGTACATTTTAGTACTCTTTTAGTATTTTTAGTACTTGGTCTGCAAAGCCCATGAGAAGTACCAAAAAGTTGCTTCAGAAACTACTGCTCTAATTCGAGTAGTTGAGAAGTTACAGAACTCCGGAAATGCTTGATGATATCGTTTGGTAGCGACAAGTGACTTTGAACCAAAAAAGTAGGCTAGATGTGATTTTTTTGGAATAATATGTTCAAAAGAGTTGTTAAGTTCGACGTTGGCTACAATAATGTTGAAGACAGAAAACAAAAACAATGGATATTTTACGAGTTATGGTCGGAAAAATGGGAGAAATTGGGAAAAATCGCCCTTTTTTCGACATTTTGCCCTATAAGCCTAGTCAGATGCGATTTTTAAGGTATAGAATGTTCATAAATTTTGTTAATTGGACTCTGAGCTACAACTTTGCTGAAAATATTGAAACGATATTCCCTACGCTTCACCGAAATATAGCCGTCCCAAAATATCAAAGAAGTGCTCCATATCCAGTTTGAGCAAAAAAATACACAACGCGATAAAAAGAAATTTTGACGTCCCACGGAAAAACTAAAGATACAGTTTTGTTTGGAATTTTGAGCTCTATCAACGAGCCTTTAAAGTATTCATGTGTGAAAAGTTGTGTTGTACGGTGTAACGTGTTGGAAATGGAAAAGTATTTGAACGATGCGCTAGGTGTAAATTAAACCAAGGTATACTGAGTAAATCATAGAATCCAATCTTTTACTCAAACAGATCTGAAAATGAATAGTATTTAGAGAATGTAGATCTTCTCGGATTTTTTTGTTAAGTTAAATTGATTGATTACACCGTATATTTATTTCAATGATTGACTACAGTTCACAACACTCGAAAAAAGTATTAGTACCATTGGATTTAATTTTGTTTTGTGTTCAAATAAATTTTTCAATAAAAAAAATTCCACCCATTCCCTTTACTTAATTGTCTGATTTTTTGAAATTTTAGCTCGTCAGATGGTGATTTCTGTTCGATTGGCTCTGCAAGAAGGATCAAATGGTGATTGGGCAAAACTGTTCGGCGGTTACATTGTGACACTGTTGGTGATTTTCTACTTGCAAATCGCTGGAAAGCTGCCATCGGTATTGAGCTTACAAAGCGATTCAAGTCTTGAGCCAGCAAAATGTGGAGGTGTGTATTTATTTTAAAAAGGTGTTCAGGGAATATTTTATTTGGCTTTTGTTTACGGTGATATCTTTTAAATAAATTTCTGGATTTTCATTAAACCCACTATTAATCGAAATCTATTCCAACAGAAAATCTGGTTCACTTCGCAAATCCAACGAATGTCACAATTTGCAAGGACCGTGTACGCGATTTGCTTATCGGTTTCTTTGATTACTATGCAAATTTTGACTTTTTCAACAAAATCATCAGTCCATTCGAGGGCCGAGAGATCAATCAAAATTTCCGCAATTGCCCGGTTGACTCTCTTTCGCGCTCGATGCGTCGGTAAGGACTGTAGCTTTATGATTAATGGTTCATTTTCATTTTTAACTGACTTTTTCATTACATAATTTTTATGGAATATTGTGAATCCAGTGTAATTAAGTAAAGTAAAATGTACTAATTGTCCGTTTTCGTTCATTTTCTTCTTTAGTTTCAAAAGTTTGATCGACACCGAGCCACATCGTTGGACCAACAATCGGATGTGCATTCAGGACATCTTTGAGCACAAACGGAACGTTTCCCAGGCCATTCATACAAAGGAAGTGAAAGCATTTGCAGATTTTTGCAGTAAGGCACTGTTTGCCATTCGAGAGGCTGGAAATGCCGTCAAATACTAGATGCTCTATATTATTATGCCTTACATTTTTCATAAACTTTATTCCGAGCACGATGTATCGAATGGAGTTTATAGAATCGACTTTGTACTTGAGATGTCAATACTTTAGTCGTGATTTATGCTATATTTTATTATTCAATCTCGACATGGTTTTAGCTAGTAAGTCGAAGAAAAGTATGATTGCCTTCAAAATGTTTGGGCGAATCTGATATTCAAAACTCCAAGCAGTGCCAACATATGAATAAATCGAATAGCTGTAAATTTATCATGAAATAAAATCTAAGAAATATTTTCCATTAAATGTGAAAGAGGTTTTAATGGGCGGGTTGATTTGATTACATTTTTATTGTGAAAAAAATATCCCATTTGACGCCACACGTCTTTTATAGTCTCTGATGTCATCGAAAAGAAACCGATTTAGAAGACAGAAAAAATCATTCAGTTTTACTTACATATATTCTAAATTGAGCGTCAAGGCGTACATTGTACCCGCTTACATAACTGGGGAAAATAAAATCGTTTGTTTTGTTACACTGCCTATTCTGCTGAGTCAGCATTGAAAAAAGAAAATAAGGTTTAATTCGCGCTATGCAAACAGTGTTAATATCATCAATATTCCAAAATTATTGCTCGAGTTCCAAATATATCGAATTATTGTATTTTGAAAATATCCATTATTATCGACAATATAAAGAAATTGTGTTCTTTGATGCAACAACATTTGAAACCACTCAAATGCAACAGCAACTAAGAAAGATGATATGCAATAATTTGTAAATAATTACTTTGCGATCAAGGGCAATTAATCATTTTATTTATTGAACGAGTGTCATTCTGCAAAAAGTAAACACTATGCAACATTTTGCTGTGCGACACTGATGTTGAATAAAATATTTCGAGCGACAAGGATTGTTGATATTTGTCAAAATTGAACCCAATACCAATCGCCAATTAAATTCTTTATAGCCAGAGGTTGTATTGGGGACATTGTTAGCTCCATGACGCCAGCCCCGCCCGGAATTTTTTTTCAAGAAATTTCAAATCTGAACACGCTATCGTGTTCTACGCAATTTGTGCTAATTAGTGCTCGCTCCCCAGAATTTGTGCTGCAACTGGAGACGAGCACAAATTCGACAAAAATTGAAAAAATACATTTTTCGTAGATTTGAAGGTTTTGCGCCGACAATCAATTCCAAATGAAATTTTCAACATTTTTATGATCTGAGAGCTGATAATGAAAGCTCTTGACGTCCCCTAATTTGTGCCGTTGACCATACAATTCGTGCTCTTACCCAGAGCGAGCACAAATTCAACGAAAATTGGAAAAAATGTATGAAAATCTCATTTGGAATTGATTGTCGGCGCAAAACCTTCAAATCTACGAAAAATGTATTTTTTCAATTTTTGTCGAATTTGTGCTCGTCTCCAGTTGCAGCACAAATTCTGGGGAGCGAGCACTAATTAGCACAAATTGCGTAGAACACGATAGCGTGTTCAGATTTGAAATTTCTTGAAAAAAAATTCCGGGCGGGGCTGGCGTCATGGAGCTGACATTGTTGGCCTTTTTTGCTATTAATTCAACCATAAACTTTTTTTACAATTCGGGTAATAAGTAGTTTGATTGCTATCTTTAGTGGATTTAAAATTCCACCTGGGGAATTAAGTCAGTGAACCTTGCCGTGCATGTCTGCATAATAAGCATGTCATCGCTGACTACCCATCCTAATTCAAACGAGTATACTTGCAATACGGTAATCAATTCTATTTTATTATTTTGTCATTATTTTGATCTTTTGTGATTTTTCCCCTAGGAATTTCCAAATTACGCTGTTTGTATAACTGAGCTGGGTTTGCGAGTATTTTTTTCGAATGGTTTTCCCATACCTTTAGTGCAAAAGCATTTATTGCCCTCCTTAACGCGAACGCCATCTATTCGGTGAGAACATGAAAACAAACAAAGTGACTCTGTATGGATCAATTTGTTTGTTTTCATGTTCAAACTGAACAGATGGCGCTCGCTTTAGGTAGGACAATAAATGCTTTTGCACTAACCGTATGAATTTTCCAATAGTACTTCAATTGTTTGAATCGACTCCGAAATGTGTATATTTGATAATTGTTTTACTTTTACCCCTTTCGTTTTTCCAAACATTCTGCAGAAAAAAGGCGTGATATATACGCCTATGACCTGAAATTTTGTCAATCCATACCAAAAATAAACTATTCATTTATTATAGCGATTGAAATATTTCCTGCATTTATTTTAATTTGAACTCTTGGTAATAAGTGTATAGGCAAATTTTATTTCTTGAAGCTATTGGAATACAATGCTGTTGGTTTCAAATTTTTTTTAACTTCTTTCAATCATTTTCAGTATGATCATTTATCGATATCTGGTGGTAAGATATGAGATCCAACACGTATTCAGTACGTGCCATTTCTATCACGGATTAGGTTAGTCAACGAATCCGGAAATTAAACTACCTCGGAATTTGTGAATGATTCTTCCGCCTTCAATCTAATCAAAAAGAAATTCGGCATTTCATTTTCTTGGAACGTTGAGTATGAGCTGCTGTCGTGTTCCAAAACCCAAACTATTTCGATTCTCTTCCATTTTGTTTCTGTGGGGAAAAAACAACACGTTGTTAATTCCATTGACAAAGAATTGGCAAATTTGGACAATTGACACGGTAGAATTGAAATGGTTTTGACGGAAATTCAATTGGAATGGAACTTTGCACGGAATTTTTGTAAAAAAAGGAAATTTTTTTTGAGAAAAAAAACACAAAAGTCATAAAGTTCAAGAAGATTCAAAATCAATCGAAAACCAGATGTATGAAGACTGAAAATCCTCTTCAAAAAATTTGTGTTCGTCTTTCAATGGCAATCTACATTTTCAATGGTAAAAAAGTGCTCCATTTCCCATTGGCACAGACATACTTCTCGTTCAATGCAGTCATCACATCAGCCAAACCGCTTCGTAGCACACAACGCATGTCAATCACATTTTCGAAGCATTCCATCAAAAAGCGATTGAAATAATCGGCTTTGGCTTTGAGTTCGAGCGTATCAAAGCATAGAATGGTTGTGATCAACGGCTTCAAACCAAATTGATCGCAACGCAAGAACAATGCCGTAAAATCACGTTTCATTTCGTACAATGTTCGCCCATTACGCAAATCCGTGACACCAATGGCAATCATCACTTTTCGCTTTTTCTTCTGCAGTGTCTGCTGTTGTACTTCAACCATTCTCAGTGCATCGGCAAATGTTAGTGTATGATTACACATAGATAGATTGAATTTGACATCAGCTGGAATTGGAGAGAACAGTTTCCATTCATTGAATGAAATTATTTCGATCAATAGTTACGTTGAGCTTTAATTTTTCAAACAAGTAGCACTTACATTGCATATCGGAGAGCATGTAATACATATAACCATCGCCGATGATTGTGAATTTGAACTTTTTCGCTTTGGCCTCCGGTTGTGTGTCTGAAATGGGAAAAAGATTTAAGTCACATGCCCAAACCGCATAAAATAAAAAAATTTACCGTTTGTTTGGATGGGAAGGGGCCGTGTTTCGACGGGCTTCGTATATTTATCAGTTTTCTCGGCGTCACTTGGCACGTTTGAACGTGAATTTGCCTACAATGAATATAAGAAAAATCTCGTTAATATTTCATTAGTTCATGAGTTGTTCAATAATGGAAAAAAAAATGAAAATTCAGTCGTTTCAGTCAACAAAACATACCTCAGATGCCTCAACCGGCGATCGACTAAACCGTGAACGACTGGCTCTTTTTGCGGTTGGATGCCCATCTGTTGGGCTGGCCGAACGCTTGTTTCTCGGGCTTTTTGAACGTTTATCTCTACCTGGTGACCGGCTACCACTGTGATTCAAAACAATAATTGCGTCCAGATTAGAAAAATTAAACAATGTTCAATGTTGAGCAATGTGTCAATATGGTCATTTAAAAAAATTCACATACCGGCGTCGTGGTGGCGAGTAACGCGATGGAATGGCACGTCGTGGAGAAATGGCTCGACTTCTTGGCGGGCTGCGTGACCATGAACGAATGCGTTCAGTATACCTTATTGGCGATCTTCTTTGCAATTGTCTTAGTGGTGACCGGCTACGACTTCTGTTCGATTTCATTGTTCTGTCTCTGTCTCTGTCTGGCGTTGTACAACGATTTCTCCTATCCTCTCTCGGCGGTGAAAAGTGACGACTGTTCGGGAAAAAAATTGCTTTCAATTAACCAATTGATATAGATATCAAAAGATGGTATTATTTGATACACTCAAAATATTATATATATAAACAGTATTCAATGAACACATTCGAACAGACTCTTAATTGAACCGCAAATATGGCATCAAAGACACCAGCAAATTTGCTAGTTTAACAATCGTAATATACATACACATTGTGATTTGCTAAAGCACCGCAAGTCTTTCGTCGACTTTTGATTTTTCCAGCTTGAATACCACTGCGCGATGGAATACCACTGCCCGATGGGATATTCACATCGACATAATCGCTGCCATATCTGTAAAAATGGAAATATTTAATTTTTGAACACAAAAAAAAACACACACACACAATATCCTGACAACGAAAGTTGGCCAGAGGCAAGATTTTGACATTTGAGAAAGTAAAAAAAAATGTTCTGTAACAAACGTACGAAACAGGCTGACGCTTGGGAAATGACTTGTTGAATTGTGTGTCAATGTGGTTTTGCCTTGAATTGTTGAAATTCGGCACCATCTTTTGTCCTTTATAGTTTGGTGAATGGATCACTCTTTGCTCCTCTACAAATTTTTTTATGTGCTTTGACTTTTCGGAATTCGAATAATACCGATCCGACTCCAAAGTTACGTCTTCAAGGGTCTTCATATATTCTTCTGCGTCGTTTTTGGTAGGTGCGAGTTTTTCACCTGTCTCTTTTTGATATTCAACTGCAATTGTGTCATTGAAGTAAATGAAATAAAATACTTTTCAAACAATGATAACTATAGCTAAAAACATTGGCAAACTTACCATTTATTTGCTTCAGGAATGCACCAGTTTTAGCAAACACGTTCAGAATACTCAGAACGATTTTTTTCTTAACTTCAGGCGTAATCGACATTTTCGTTGGATTTTCGACAAAAATTCGATTATTCCAACAAATAATATTTACTTTTCCTGAAAAAACTAACTTTTTCTTCGATTTCTGAATGAAAAAAAAAAAACTGTTTTTGTATCGAAAACTCACATCAAAAATGGTTTGTGTGCCAAAAAAAAATAACAAAAATGTACGAAGCGAACTTTGACAGTATACACAAAGGTATCTATGTTTATGTGTCAACTGAACTGTCTGTGTATTGTTCAACTGGGACAGTGTGCATTTCTCTGTGTTGACAGTGTATTAGCGTGCTGTTTATTTTGTGCTGATTTTCATGTTTGGCTCTGTGTGAAATAAGTGAGTTTGTCAGCTGTTCTGTATGCCGCTATAAACTCACACTGGGCAAACGGATGTGACTGAGAGAATGAGAATGAGAATGAGAAGAAGAAAGAGAGAATGACAGAGATAAGGAATGAATTGTTTGAGAGTAGATGAAAAACATATTCAATGCACTTGAGCGCTTTTTTGCCTGTTGATGTTACAGTAGTACAACTGTAGAAATGATGGTTTGATATTTAGTCAACAAATTTCGAACAAACTTTACACAATTATGGAAATCAGCTTCCAAATCTACCTGCTGAACGACTGAAATATCGATGAAGAACGCCAAAACTTTTTTTTTCAACTATTTGAAAACTCATCACAAAATGTTTGAACAATGTTGCACTGATGGACCTAGGACAAGAACATGAACATGCATTATTTGGATGGCAGTTTGTCACTTTTTAACTAATTAGTCAAACTCTTGTTTAATTTTATTATTTTGTCGTTCATATGCTTAGCTAATGTCTTTCATATGTTTAACTTCATTTTTGGAATGTTTTCAGCTGTATTTTTTCCAAACATTGCCATTCATTGTTCATTCTTGCTTTGTTATTTATTGTCAAATTTTATGACCGATCTGATCCATCCTAATTTTATGGTCGTTCAAACGTTCCGAATGTTACTCAAACAGGACGCCTTTTCCCGCTTTCTTGTTTCTTCAAGTTTCTATAAAAACAACAGACAATGTTGTACACATACTATGTCTCTTCGTATGTGTAGATTCTACACAACTAATACTTGTAATATAAGATAATATTGTATAGAGGTTGTATAGTTTATGTGTCAGTGCATCTCAAAACTATGCATGTGTATTAGTTGTGCAGAATCCATAATGTGTCGAAATTCCTACAGTTAATATTGTGGGGTGCGTTTTGTGTCTGTTTATGTTCAATAGATTTAACTCTTTGTCGTTTTTTACGTTCGGTCCATGCGATCATTTTTAAAGGTTGAGACATACATGTACATGTGGTGTACTCTATAGCGTCAAATAGTGGATTTTCTTATAAATTTTCTGTTGAAAAAATGTTTCTCTACCATTTCAAACACTGTTTAAAAAAATGTTTATTTGGGTCGAATAGAACTGATATTTCTTCGGATGCTAATCGTTGGCACTGTTCCCAAATGAACCATTTGCGGAGAAATCCAGTGCACAGCGAAGTTGTGCGGAGTTCGGCGGAGATACCGTACAAACGCTTTAAGTGTGAGCGAAACAGCAGTGCAACTTTGCTGTATTTACATTTCTATTGTTCAATACACATATAATTAGTCATGAACGCACTGCTTCAGTCATAACGTATGTATGGCATCTCCGCGGAGCTCCGCTGTGCACTGGATTTCTCCGCAAATGGTTCATATGGGTCTTGGAATGGAAAAACTTCACAACGGACATTTTTTCATTAACGCAATTGGTTCAGAAAAAATATCTCAAATTTTCAACTGAAACAATCAAATGTAAAAGAATCCGATCCAAAATTTTGCAAGTGAAATTGTCGATTCACCCCGGATACCACCAAGCCACTGAGCAGCAGTGTGAACGATCTTCGACTCACCATTTTTCCAACTTCGAACTATCAACAGTTTACTGTAAACGTATCAATTGATAAGAACTGTTTGATAGCCATACAATTGAACGCATCACTTTTAAAGAATGGTCCCAGTAAGCAATACATTACCGGTATAATTTAATCCACGTGCAATGGCGATTTTAATTAAAGCTCACAGAATATTTGATGATGGATCAAACGATTGATCGAATTACAATTCCACCTGTGCACGTGTGCATACATTTTGCGTTCCTCGTCAAATGGATCGCATCGAAAATACGTTGTTTACGTTCATTCCTTTATCACCTTCACTATGGTTTGAAAAACAACGCAATTCGATCGCAATGTATTGCAAATTTAAGCAATTATTTTTCAGTCTTGAAATGTTGACTGGTATAGCTATTTGAATATAAAAATGTTTACATCTTCGCGGCATGCTCAAAACACGTTCCGTCTCAAAGTCGTTCCATAGCTAAAAAATAACAACAGATGGATCGTCGCTTACATGATGTAAATTTGAATGCGTTTGATCAAACGATATGACTCATACCATTGTGTTACATTCAGGCTCACGTACCATGGTTGCGTTGGCTTATATTGAACAAACATCCAATAGTGACAATATTAGCTCATTCAAGGATATATGAGTGATCGGGAATAAAAATGACTAAAGTTGAACCACTTATGGATAACCGTAGCACAATATTCTTGATTTTTAAAAGTGCAACATAAATTCTCTTCGCTTGAAAGTGAATCGTAAAATATCTGTGGACTATAGAAATCGTGTTTCACTTTAATTGAAGCAAAAATGTTCGATACACTTTCAAGCCATGGGAATGATGATTCATTTTAATGGTGGTTTTGGTCGTGATTTGGCTTCGGAGTGAAAATTAAGTGATAAGGAGCGCGAATTTCGATGTGCCGATAACACCATTGGATTGGGCACATGAAATACTGTATGAGAATCGAAAAACAATTTTTTTTAACTTTTTTTTCAATTTTTACCTGTTTCGGATCGTCTACATGGGAAGTTTGTATGAAATCCTCGGAGCACGGGTCGGCGCCGCTGTAATTCTGTAACATTAGTTCATACGGTAAACAAGCTGTTGTGTTACGAAAAACAGAGTCGGTCGATTCATCTCTCTTAAAAATGACGCGCACTAAATGTTGCACACACAAACAGGAGTGTGCACGTCTACGAGCGATTATGAATGAACGTAATGAGAAGAAGCGTCGCGAATGTGTTTGTATTGCATACAAATATAGTACACTTAATATTGTGAGGCACTAACTCCACATTACATTCATTCATAATCGCTTGTTAAGCGAGACCTGTTCAATCGTGTCTGTGTTTGTGTGCAATATTTTGTGCACAGTAAACATCAATAGAATCGAATAGCGAGCAACTCTGTTGTTCGTAACACAACAGCTTGTTTACCATATAAACCAATGTAATTACAGCGGCGCAAACCCGCGCTCCGAGGATTTCATACAAACTTCCAATTTAGATGATCCGAAACAGGCAAAAATTTAAAAAAATATTTAAATTGTTTTTTTTTTCGATTCTCATACAGTATTTCATGTGCCCAATCCAATGGTGTTATCGGCACATCGAAATTCGAGCTCCTTATCACTTAATTTTCACTCCGAAGCCAAGCCACAACCAAAACCACCATTCCAATGGACTTGAAAGTGTATGGAACATTTTTGCTTCAATTAAATGTGAAACACGATTTCTATAGTCCACAGCAGGGCTTAAAATAAGAGTGAATCAAGTCCAAAATGGTGAATCAAAATTTAAAAATGTGAATCAAAATATGCCAAACGGTGAATTAAAAATTCACCGGAAAAACATTAATTTGATGTCTCTTTTTTTAAAAATTCGCGACAATCGAACGTCAAATATATTTGATGTGATGGATATTGCAGTTTCAACCGGTTTATTTGAATTTTGCCGCTCATTTACTTGATATGATCTCATTAATACAAAATATATTTGATAATAATTACCCAATTTTCAACCCAAATCCGGAACTGTTTGGAACAACAATAAATAAACGGAATTACACACATATCAAGGATTTTTTTAATCGTTAACTTTTTTTCTTGATTTTTATGCCACTGTGGATTTTGAATTCACCCCCCCCCCCTTTGATTTCAGAAAATGTGAATCAAAGAAAACCCTTATTTTAAGCTCTGGTCCACAGATATTTTACGATTCACTTTCAAGCGAAGAGAATTTATGTTGCATTTTTAAAAATCAGGAATATTGTGTTACGGTTACCCATAATTGGTTCAATTTCAGTCATTTTTATTCCCGACCACTCATATGTGTCGTTGAGGATAAAAATGGGATTTTAGCCGAAACCGCGTGTTTTCTTGCGAATCATTTTTGTGTTTCTGGTACAAGTCGAGGCAAGTATCTTAAGCAAAGGTGAAGATCTTGAAATGTTCTAAAACATTGCAGATCACATCGGTCTTCCATCTCTTACCAGGAACGTAAAAATGATTCCCAACGAAACCATTGATTTAATTATAAGTAACACTTTCTATAGAGATATTGACAGCTTTTTAACTATTCTGAGATTCCAATGAATGTACAGTAGGCCATTTCACCATGTTGAAAAGTCGAAACCAACATACACATTCTGGATCGGTAGAGCCTGTGGATTTTAAATGTATAATTTTTGTGTTATAAAATTTATTCCTCGCGAGCAAAATTGCGAATTAATAAATAAATGAATTTGAAAGGTTTTATCATGAACCGTACAATACGTTTGAGTCACGCATCATAGCAGATTTCGAATGTTTTGCAATGGATACTTTGCATACGAGATATATGTATTTTCGACATCACAGTGACGAGCTATTGTTTTTTTGAAAACGCAGTGGGGTACCAAAGGGATGTCTAAAAGAGGTTTCCAGAATTCGAAAATTTTCTCCAAAAATGGTTGGGGAGACGATTTCTGAGTGATTTAAATATATTGAATTAATTTCTGGCTATAAACGTATAACTTATAGATATGTTTTTTCTAAAAATACTCATTTTATAGCAGATTTTTCTAAAACTCATAATCTGGGATGTATAAAACAGAAACAAAAAATCGGTAAGAAATTCTTTCGTTGGATTTCTTCAACAAACATTTTATTTGAATGTGATGTCTCGTCTTCACTGCGTTTATCCGTTGGAGTGTGCATCGTGCAATTTTCATTTGATTTAATGATAAACGGCTCCATTGTCCATGAGAAGTTTGGTGATATCCTTGTGGCCTCAAAAATAATACAGTTCGAAAGATCAAACCAATTTCTTACTCACACAAAAGTAAAAATTGAAATTTTGTCCGTGAAAGGTCAAAGAATGCGGTTCAATCCATGAAAAAGACAATAAAAATATCTGTTTTGTCTTTGCGGCGGTGAAGGTAACACTGAGATGAATTGACTTTGAAGTTTGTGGATGATCAATTTTACTGACTATTTATTTTAATCATCACACGAATATTTTTTGTCTTTCTATGGGTTTGACCACTTTCTTTGACCTCTTGCGGACAAAATTTTAGTTCTCTGTGAATATTCTGAAAACAAACATCCTGCATTACCATTTAAAATAGCATAATCTAGAG